CCAGGCCACAGCCTCCCCCTCTGAGGCCCCCACACCAAGAACCACGGCTGAGTGCTATGTCCGTCTCCCTGGTCAGCCTCCCTCTGCCTTTGGCCAGCAGCAAAGCACACACCCTGTCACTGTCACTGTCACCGTCACCAGAGACTGTGGCTTCGGAAGGCGGGGGTGATGGGTGTTCCCGGCTGGTTCCTATCACAGGCTCACCCGCCGTGCAGACAAGAGCAGAAGGTGCCGGCTGGGCAGGGGCCTCCTCTCCGGGTCTCCAGCCTCGTGTCTGGCCAGCTCGCCAGGCCACACCGTCTACGCAGGGGCCAGGAGGGGCAACTCCCTGGGTCCTGCCCCCCATCTGGGCCCAGCGCCGGTGGGTTGGGCATATGGACCAAAGCCCCGGACCACTGGGCACTGGAGGGTGAGTGCGGTCACTTGTCACACTCTCGGGAAGGAGGTGGTCAACTGGAAACTGAAGAGGTGGCCCAGGGGCAGCTGCGTCTGACTGTCCAGTTTAAGGGCGAGGGACGCAACCCCGGTCACAGCTGGGGCTCCACAGTCCATGCGGCCCCGCAGCTTCCTCGGGAGGGCGGGTGCCCCGCATCAAAGAAGATGGGTCCTGAGGGTCAGTGGCCATGGCAAGGACAGTCACCCCAAGACAAGCCTGGGTCACACCCACACCAGCGCCTCCCTCCCGAAAGGGCCCAGCCGCTTGCCATCGGCCAGCGCAGACCTCTGGTCTTGTCCCGGGGCTACGGGGCCAAGGCAGGGCCGAGAGCAGAGCGGGGCTGTTCCTCCCAGTCGTGGACCAGAGTGAACAACCCCAGGGAGTGTGGGGTGGGGCAGGAGACATGCGGAAGGTGGGGGACACTGTGGAAGGCGCTCTGGAACTGACGGGGCTCAAGGCCCGGGTGTCCCTCTCCCAGAAGGTCACCGGTCAACTCCTCTGGCCCCAGTGGCCCTTTGAGGTTCGGGGAAGGCACGGCTCTGCACACGCCTGACTCTCTGCAGTGGGATGGAGCTAATGGCTCTATGAGAAACCGGAAACCTTCACCAAGGGTTGGACCCCCCAACTCATCTCGGAAACAGGCCCCCTCATTCCCAACGCAGGCGGCTTTCTGCCCAAACCATGCACCACCCCCAACCGCCTTCCCACAGCTCAGCCGGGCGGTGTGTGCCGCCTTCGGCCACAGGACGGGCACCTGGAAGGAAGTCTGCGGGCTGGGGGACATCTTCGAGGCTCTTGTCCACACTGCTCTGCGTTCGCCGCCCGGAACCCCGCCAGAGCCTGCTGGGGACACGTTGTGCCGGAATCCGCTCCTCTCTTCACACTCACAGTTTCAATCCTAACGGTGACGCTCTCGATCAGGTTGCACCTGAGTCGTCACCCTCTCACTTCTCGACAAGTGCTCGGCAGCCTTGGCCACAGCCAGCTGCCCAACCCCCCTCTGTGTGGCCCGCACAGCCCCGCTGAGTCCCCTGGGGCCACCCCAATGCCCAAGGGGTGCTCCTGGACCCAGGTCATGCCTGCCGGGCACAGCCCGCCTCTGGGGGCCTCTGTGCAGGGGTGCACAGTCCTGGCCACTTCCCTCACCCGGGGCAATGTGAGGGGCCCTCGGCTGAGGCCTCCAATGTCCCCACGCCACAGCCAGCTCCTCTGCCTGGTGCCCTATCCCGGGGTGACGCTCACTGGGCCCACCCACTGCTCATCCCGTCTGCTGGGAGCAGGCCTGAGCTGGGCTCCTGTTCCAGACCTCTTCCGGGGCAGAGGTGCTCAGGCCCAGGGGACCCCATGCCGGCCACCACTCAGCACCACCAGGCCCCCAAGGGCAGCAGCAACCCTCCAAACGTGACCCGATAAGAAGAGGGACCTTTTCCGATGTATTTTCTGCAAAGAACTGGGGCAGGAAAGTACTGTATTTTGCCGTGCATGATGCGCTCCCAGGTAAAACGAGTATCCACGTTTTTGGCCCAAACTTTCAGGGAGAAAATCGTTTGTTTTAATTTTTTAATTCACTTTTGTACTTGTTTATATTTAGAGACAAAGCCAACGCTCGTGTTCCAGGTGCCATTCCCCACGCAGCTGCTGTTGCTTTCCAGTTACGCGTGGAAGGCGTGAGCATAAATGAAAGAACTAAAAACCTTTCTCCAGCCCTGGCTGGTGTGGCTCTGGGGACTGGGTGTCATCCTGCAAACCGAAAGGTCACTGGTTCAATTCCCAGTCAGGACACAGGCCTGGGTTGCAGGCCAGGTCCCCAGTAGGGGTCGCCAGAGAGGCAACCAGACATTGATATTTCTCCTTCTCTTTCTCCTTCCTTCTCCTTTTTCTAAAAATAAGTAAGTGAAATCTAAAAAAACAAAACAGTATAACAGGAATAACAACACACTTGGCCAGCCCCCGACCCAGGCCACTCCCCACAGAAACCCCAGCAATGGCGGCTCAGGCCCACGGAGGACAGTGTGAGTCTGCTTCCCTGGGCCAGGCGGAGGGTCACCTGCCCACGACCCCTCCCCAGCCGCAAGCACACCTGGATGGGGCGCCACCTGGGCCCAAGGAGAACCCGCTCTGGCAGGCACGGCCTGACTTCATTCTCTCGGTCGGGGACTCAGCAGCACAGGGCGCCCCTCCCATTTCCCCGGCCCCTGCGTGCCGGTCATTTCAGGGGGCTTCCTCTAACAAGGGAAGGACAGTCTCTGCAGAGACCCACCTGGACAGGATGGGGGCAGGGCCCGGGGGGTGGTCCCCACAGTGCAGACGAGCGTTTTACATCCACAGACAGAGGGACTGTCACACCTCCTCCGTGGAAAACCGTCTGTGACTAGTGGTGCCATCGACCCTGTAAAGGGAAGCAGACCAGCCGGCCCCTCACTTGGAAACCCAGCCCTTACATCGGGGAGTCCATGGGAAATATCAGCGGTGAGAGCTGCCCGGACCTCTCACCCCAAAGCCGGGGACCGTGAATGAAAACCCAAGTAGACCTGGCGACGCGGCACCCTGAAAGCTTGCATGTCGCAAAGAAAACAAGCAAAAAGCCAGATCCCAATTAAAAAGAAAAGCGAGAAACTAAAAAGTAAGTGGCTAGCACACGAGTGGGTGGCGGAGATGGGCTGGCATCCCCAACAGAAAAGACGTCTGGGATGAGAAAAAGACACAGGGCCCGAAAGAAAAACACAAAATGTGCGAAGAACACAGACAGGCACCTTCCCAAAAGGCCGATGGTAAAGTGAAAACACGTTCAGCAAAACCAGCAGAAGTTAAAGGGGACGAAAAGGCAGTTCACCCACCCGTGAGACGGCCAGGCGGCACGGAGCAGCCTGCTCACCCCCATGGGGGACAGCACAGGCCGGGCCTTGCCGGGCGGCATCTGGGCAAGACCTGCCCTGGCCTCTGGCCGCGAGGGTCCCTTGTAAGCATTCACCCTGTGCACACCCCAGCCAGTCCCCGAGGGCGTGGCCTCCGGTCACCGCAGCACTTCTTCAATCACTGAGAGGACCCACCCAACATTTATCGTCCCGGTTCCTGGGCTGCTACGTGATTCATTAGGTCTGTTTCCCCCAGTTTTTGGTAGTAAATAGTGCTTTTGTAATAAGAAAACACTACTCATTAAAACAATTTGCCAAAGCACTAAATCCACATTTCAACGGGGTTCTCGACACGTGGCCCTCCAGCTCCCCAGGCTGATGGAGACAGGGAGCTTCTCCCCTCCCGGGCCCTGCGGCACAGCCTCTGGTTTCCCACCCTGTCAAACCTTGGTCATTTGCAAGACAGGAAGCGAACCCCTAGTTCATCCTGAAATCCATCTGTGACGGGGCTTCGGAGCCAGGCTGTGGGGATGGACGGACAGAGGTACTGGCGTGTCTTGCTCTTGATCTGCCCCTTCTACCAGCAGGGTGGTCCTAGCACCCTGAGCCACACCCACCACACCATGAGCCTCGGGAAAAGATCTCCAGACAGTATGAAAAGTAAAACTGGAAACTCCGACATCGTGCCTTAGGGGAGGAGACCAGAAACAGAATCAGACATCAGTCCAGGTGCGTCCCAAGTGTTTTCCTCCCTCTTCCCAAACAGGCCAGATGCCCAGCACGGGAGGAATGCTGGCACGGGCTGCGGATGTAGGAGACAGGCACGCAATTCTCCAGCCCCCGCCCCATCCTCCAGCCCCGACACACTCTCCCCCGGGTCCAGCGAGCAATTCTTGAGTGACTGAGAGAAGCTCTCCTAGGGCAAGTTCTGGGCTTCTATTAAACACGAGGCTGGAACCTGGCCGGCCTTGCTTCCTGGACCACCACCCAAAGGTGAAGGCAGCTGGAGGCCTGGGCAGTAGGCTGGACAGAAAGCTGGCCCTGCGCAGGCGGCTGCGGGGACGTGGCCTGGAGACCCGTTGCTCCCAGGGCTGGAGACCAGGCTCTACCTGCTCTGTGAAGGCAACTTCAGCCAAAGAGGGAGAAGAGGCAGGCACGGTGCGGGGCGCACAGGGGGCGCTGGACCGGCGGGAGCTTCTGGGGTCACCGCAGCCCACAATCACAGTAACGACCCCCAGAATACAGTAGCCATCCAACGCCCGCCTGCCGCCCTCCCTCCCGGCCTACACTGCCCCCTCTGGGTGGAGGAGAGGGGCAGCCTTCCCCCACTCCCAGCGCTTGGCGCAGCCCTGGCGACCGGGCAGTCAACAGTCCCCGAGGGTCCCCGCCTCTACAGCGCCGGGTGGGGGTCAGGCGTCACACCAACAAATCATTCACCAAGGGCGCCAAGACCTTTCCGGGGGCCCTGTCCGAGGCGGGGAGGGTGGGGCGTCCCCGGGCCTCCGCAGCGGCCGGCAGGTGGGCGCGCGCTCGCCGGGCGGGGGTCCGGCCGGGCCGCGCGCCTCCCCCGGAACTCGGCCGTGCCATTCCCATGATGCCCAGCCACCGGGCACGGCTTCCGGAGCGCGGCCGCAGCTCCCGCCGCTGCCGGTAGGTCCGGGGAGGGGGCGACCAGGATCGCCCCGCCCCGCGCGCCCCGCCCTCCGCGCGTCCCTCCGCGCCGGGCGGGGGTGGGAAGCGGCGGCGGGGAGACGGCGGCCCCAGCCCCCTCCGCTCGGCCCGAGGGGCGGGACGCCGGGACCCCGCCGCCCCCGCGCGCCCCCCGCGCTCCGCTCCTCCCCTGGGACGCGAGGAGGGCGGGCGCCGGGTGAGGGGCCGGGCTGCCGGGCGGCCGGGCGGAGGTGAGCGCCGGGGCCGGGGCCGGAGCCGGAGCCGAAGGGCGGCGAGGCAGGCCGCGCACGGCGGCGCTGGGCCCCCGGGGAAGGTGGGCGAGGCGGGGGCGCGCAGGGCGGGCGCTGGGGGCTAGTACTGCCCCGGGCGGGGGTCGCGGCCCCGGAGGCAGCCCTTGGCCCCGCCTCTGCGCCGGCGGCCCCGCCGCGCGCCCGGCGTTCCTGGAAGCCGGCGAGGCGCGGGAAGAAGGGTTCACCCAGGTGAAGCGCAGGTGAGGGCCAGCGGGGCAGCTTCCGGCCGACCCAGCGCTCCCGCCGTGGGAGCTCGGCCGAGGGGCCGGTCTCCCCCACCCCCGCGGAGGAGCAGTCCCGCCCGGTGCAGCTTCCGGGAGGGTCACGGGCGCCCTGCCGGCCCCTGCCCCCCCCACCTCGGACCCTTAAGCAACCCTGGGGGTGCAGGCTGCGCAGAGGCCTGCCCCCTTTCCTGCGGGAGGTGCTCGCACTTACGCGGCTGACGACCGGCTGAGCACAGGGATCAGCGCCTCAAGGCGGGGAGCCCCGGTACGCGGGGTGAAAGGGCAGGGCGGGGTCAGCTGCGAAGGCCTAGCTGGCCTCGGTCTCCGTGCTGCCTGTTGTGAGGTCTGACCTTCTGGCCAGCGGGCGGGAATTCTGGCCCACGCCCACTTCAGGTTGGCCTGCTGGGCCCTCCTTGACTCCGCGGTAGTCTCACGGGGGAGGTGACCATCCCGGGGCCGGACCGCTTTTGCTGATGTATTTGAGGCATGACGTTTAGGGAGCCATACTGTTCCGAATGAGCTGCGCTCGGTTCGCCCTCCCTGAAGGCGCGGGTCTACACTGGGAAGATGTCCCGGAGCCTCCACCACTTCGGCTTGGCTCCACTTGGCTTTGGGCTGCAGGGCTGGGCATCCTCACAGCCACTCTCCCACCTGGCTCAGGTGCGGGGAGGCAGCCTGAGGGCCGAGCCAGCCTCAGCTCCCACTCTCCCCAAGTAGAGTCCAGAGTTTGCCGGTGTGATTCATCGGTGCAGTGGGCTGCTTCAAAGCCAGGGCTGCCACTGGAGACGCCCTCTGCACTTTCCACCTCATTCCTGCGCAACGTGGTTTGACAGTTCAGGATACTGTCTCCTGGGACTCCATCCGCAGAGAGACAGCCCCCGGGGAACGGGCCGCCGCGGTGCAGCCTGGCCAGTCAGGGTCACCCCTGGGGCCACTCCAAGATGGTGTTTCTGTTGAGCCCGTTAACGGCCTTGATTCAGACCCTTCTCGCCCAGGCCTGTGCAGGTGCCCTGCAGTCTCTGATTAATGACCACAGAGAGGTGGGCACAGGTCCCCAGCCAGTGAGAGCCCCCCCATTGTTGGTCCCCCCTGGTCTGTCGGACCGAGGGGGGACCAACAGACCAACAGAGGTCATGGGCTGTTGTGGGTGTGGGCACTGGGGACCAGCTGCACACTCCCCGTGACCCCCCCCACTGCCAGCCCTACGGACGGCCAGTTCGTTGCACACTGGTGCTTACCTCTAGTGGATCTCAGGGTGAATTCCAGAATTTCATTTTGAGCCCCTAAGTTGATGCTGTTTCTTTTACAAAGTTGAGACAATGCTCGCTGCCACGTGGGCCTCTGAATGGGTGTCTCTGCTTCCCGCCCCCCTGGCAGTCTGAGGGGGCCGAGGACGCCGCGGCGTGCCCACCGGGCGACGCAGACCTCACCCCCGCGACCAGCTGGTGTCGGCCACCCCATCACCACCCTGAACCTGGGCTCAGGAGAGTTTCAGGTAAGTGCGAGCTCTCCGATGCTGTGCTTCTGCTCATTGCGCACAGATCAGCAGTAGCAAGTGGCCCTCTGGTTAAGCGCCAGTCACTCCTGCCTGGGCACGTCCGCGCCTAGGTAGGTGGCTGGGCCATCAGCGAGGGAGCTCTTGACAGAGAAGGGCCAGTGTCAGAAGCCCTTCTGGGGGCCTCTCTGCTCGTTAGCCAGAAATAACGACCTGACTCTGTGAGGACGTCTTGCCAACAGGTGTCTGACTCTTTCCAGTAACAAGCAACTCGGTGAAGACGTTCGGGGCGGCGAGTGCCACGTCACTCACTTCACGTAACGTTTTCCTGCAGGGCCTCGCCGCCGCCAAGAATGAGCCACCCCGCACGGTCCCTCTCGGCGCGCGGGGGCCCGAACCCCTTGCTCTTTAACCTGCAGAGAAGCATGTGTGGCCTTCGCCTTGCTACCACCTGGGCAGCTGTTTGAGGTAAAAAAAAAAAAAAGTCTGTTCTCTTGCCGAGAAGGTGGGGACCCACAGCCACCAGAGGGGGACGGAAACCGCAGGGGCTGGCTCCTGAGTGCGGGCGGGCAGAGGAGTGTTCCCTCGCCATCTTCATGGCTCAGGACAGGAGGCCACACAGCTCGAGTCCTGTGGCCCCTGCTGGCCGGGGGCTGCAGGCTCCGCCCCCTCCAGCCGAGGTGCCTCACCGCTCTGCTTTCCCCCCAGCAGGATGTGAAGCCAGCGGGCGGACGGAGCCCGGCCTCGGCGCGCCTGCCTGTTGCTAGAATGTTCCTCATGAACGCCCCTCCTGTGCTTGCTCTCCAGTCCACATGGGAAGCCTTCGGGCGGCCGGGGAGCTGTAGGTTTCCCGGGCGCTTCTCGGAGCCGGAGGGCGCGGGGCGCGCAGCTGTGAGCGCCAGGGTGCAGATGGTCATCAGCACGCTCCAGGGCGACCGGGCCGCACGGGGCAGGAGCCAGGAGCAAGCCCTGCACAGAGGCCCGCGGGGCCGCGAGGCCCAGCTGGCCACCAGCCCCACCTCGGCTGCCTGCGGTGGTGCTGCCGATTTTGGCCCCAGGCAGGAGGAAGAGAGCACGGACGTGGGGCCCCCAGTGCTGGATTCGGACAGTGATGACTCTGTGGACCGTGACATCGAGGAAGCCATCCAGGAGTACCTGAAGGCCAAGAGCGGGGCCGCCCAGCCCACAGCCGCCGGCGGGGACAGTCCGCGCCAGCCAGAGCCGCCTCAGAGCAGCGCCCCACCTGCCCGGTGTCCTCCCAGACTCACACCGGGTTCAGGAGGTGCCCCTGGCAGCCGCGTGGGAGCCAGCGAGGCCCCAGGCTCTTCCTCCCCGCTCAGTGTCAGTAGTGAGGACTCCTTCGAGCAGAGCATCCGGGCAGAGATAGAGCAGTTTCTGAACGAGAAAAAACAGCACGAGGCCCCCAAACTGGACGCACCTGGGGACAGGAAAACAGACCCTGGCAACAACTTGGCCAAACCCGCACTCAGATCCTTCAGGGAGCCCGGTGTGAGGGCGCAGCGGCAGGAGTTGGCCGGCGCCGGCAGGGAGTTTGTCTTCCGGAAGCCTCCCAGGTTGGCAAAGGCGCCTGCGCAGCCCAGAAGTCTCAGGTCCAGAGCCACCACCGAGCCTCTAGAGAGCTTGGGCAGCCCAAAGCCAGCAGCACCCAGGCCACCAGCAGCACCCAGGCCTCCGGCCGCCTGCCGCATGGTAGAGGCCCAGGGTAAGGGCGGGGCCAAGAGGAACCCCTGCCCTGGGAGGCGGGGCCAGGGAGCCAGGAGCGCGGCCAGTGTGCGGGAGGCTTCCGACTCTAGCAGCGACGACGGCATCGAGGAGGCCATCCAGCTGTACCAGCTGGAGAAGAGAAAGGAGGCGAGTGGAGACCCACCGGGGGAGGGGCCGCCCGAGCCCCCCGCCCGCAGCACGAGCCACGCCACGAAAAGTGCCTTGCCCGAAGCCCACAGGAAAACGCTGGGCAAGAAGAAGCCGGTGACCTCGAAGGCCGTGGATCTTGGCCCCGGTGGCCCTGACCCTGACCGTCCCTCCAAGCCACCAAAGGAAACCAAAGTCCCTGCGGCCCCAGGACACACAGCGTCCAAGAGCGAGTTGGCGGACGGGTCCTCGTGCCGGGCAGACACGTCTGCTGAGCTGATGTGCGCCGAGGCCATCCTGGACATTTCCAAAACCATCCTGCCAGCCCCTGGGGAGGGCGGTGACGGACCCCTGTCCACCAGCCCGCTCCCTTGTCCCCCCAGTGTGCCTTCCCACTCCGACGGGGACAGCAGCTCTGTGGACAGTGACGACAGCATTGAGCGGGAGATCCGGACGTTTTTGGCACTGAAGGCGCAGTCGGGTACTTTGCTGTCCAGGACGGAATCCTGCCCGCACACAGTGCAGAGCCCGCTGCCTCCGCCAGGCCCCCACGGGCAGGCCGGTGGCCTCAAGGCCCCTGCCTCTAGAACGCTGGACCTGTCCCCAAGCCGCAAAAGGAGACGCCGGGGAGGCGGCACCACCGTGTGGTCATCCACACCCAAGAAAGTGAGCGAGGTGAAGGAGGGTGCCCCGGACAGTGACCCCGGCCAGGGAAGGGCCAGCGAGGCCCCTGGCAGGGAGGGTGAGGCCCAGCCACTGCCCTGCGGGATAGTTGGGCTGGGTGACGAGCACATGGCCCCGGACGCACGGGGCAGCATGTCACCCAGCCCCGGGAAGGCGGTCGAGTCGCGGAGTCTGGACGAGAAGGGGAGCTCTGAGGACAAGAGCAGCTCGCTGGACAGCGACGAGGACCTGGACACCGCCATTAAGGACTTGCTTCGATCCAAACGGAGGCTCAAGAAGCGCTGCAGGGACCCCAGAGCCGCGTGCAGGAAGAAGGTCAGGTTCAGCACCACCGAGGCGCAGGCCGCCGGCCAGCAGGGCGGCCTCCAGCGCGGCTGGAAGGAGAGAGGCCCGCACCTGCTGAAAAGCTGCCTCTCCAAGGCCAGACGGGACGGCAGGGAGGACCCACTGAGGAAGCCTGCCAGCGTCTTCTGCTGCGGGACAGAGAGAGGGAAGCCGGGGGGCAGCACCGGGCCCGCGGACACAGCCCTGGCCCTGGCGCCGGGGCGGAGAGCCCGCCGAGGGGGCGGGTGTACCGGCGAGGCCCAGGCCGGCTCCCTTCGTGGCTCGGCCGCCGGCCCCGGCCCACGGTCTGAGGACAGCAGTTCCGTGGACAGTGATGACAGCATCGAACTGGAGATCAGGCGGTTTTTGGCTGAAAAGGCCAAGGACTCTGTGAGCGGTTTAGAGGTTCAAGGAGGAGGTCCCACCACAGTCGGGCCGGGGAGTGTGGCCAGGCCAGAGCCACCAGGCCGGAGGGCAGTGGTCCCAGGACTGGCCCTGCAGCCCGGTGTGTGCACACAGAGCCAGAGAGGCAGGGGGACCCCTCAACCAGCCGCGGGACCGAGGGGCGGCCCCCACGCAGAGCAGGCCTGCCTCCCCGCTACCCTGTCCAGAGGCCAGCAGGCGCCCCCCAGGAGCACCAGTGAGGCTGCGTCTGCCAGAGGGGCCCCTGCAGGCAGGAGAAGCCTCTACCCTCATGGGGACCGGCGCGCACGAGGCGCCGGGCCTGCCTCTGCAGACAGCGCTGTAGGTCAGCCGTCCAGTTGTGCGGAAGCGGGCACTGGGCCAGGAAGCCTCAGTGGGACCCTGCCCGTGACCTCTCAGGGCCGGAGCGCCCTGACTCGGAGCCTGGGAGCAGACAGGGAGGGAGGGCCCCAGGCCGGCCTTGCTCTCCCGTGGGGCAACTTCACCCACCAGAATCGGCTGCAGAGCGCGTGGGCGCTGAGCCCGGAAGGCAGGGATGCAGCGTGGAGGGGGGGCCTGGGGAGCGAGAGGGAGAAGGGGGTAGAGGGCCAGGCCCAGGGCGCGCCCAGCCTCGCCCCGGACCCGAAGAAGAACCTGCCTTTCACAGGCTTCTCGCCGCTGCGCTCCACACAGTTATTCCACTTTGGGAACAGCGTGGCCTGGGGGGGCAAGCCGGCCAGCCTCTTCGGCCCCAGCCTGGGCCTGCCTCTGCAGGGCCCATCCTTTTCCGCCTTCAGAGAGGCCCCGGCCGGCCCCGGCCCCGTGTTCGGGAGCTCACCCTTGCTCGCGAAGAAGGACGGCGGGCGCTGGCCTCGGAGGAAGGCTCCGGCCTCACTCGGCTTCCGCAGCAGCGGGAACCTGAGTTTGGACAAGGACGTTCTGGACCTGAGGTACGGGCGGGCGGGCAGAGACCTTGCCAAGGACCAGGAGGCCTGGGGCAGTGACGCCAGCGAGCTGAGCGACACCTCCGTGGAGGACGGCGGCCCCGTGGCCCCAGGCAAAGCCCTGAAGCTGTGAGCACGCGTGTCGGGTGGCACCATGGGCAGAGGGGGTGGGAGCCGCCGCGACCACCCAACCACCCTGTACATATGTACAGAAACGAGATCGGTGCCCCTATTTAACACGTGTCCTGGTAAATATGAGTTTTGTAGCTTTTTTGTAAATTATTTAAAGTGCTGTAAAAACTATTTTTGGAGAATAGAGCTGTTTGATTCTGTAGGGCATCTCTGATGGCAGTGTCCGTGGGTCCGTGGAGCCCCCGGGTCCTGCCCCGCATAGCCAGCTCGGGGGACTCAGAGGCTGGCACTCCGGGGTGACTGCAGGGGACATCTGGCTGTGCTGAGTGGGTGGCAGTGGTGCCCCTGAGGTCTCCGTCCGGGGGCTCCTGCACATCACTTGCTATAAGGGACCCTGGGCCGAGAGGCCAGGGCACACCCGCTGAACATGGCTGCCGGGCCCTTGGCCAGAGAAACATCAAAGCACCAACGCCAGCGAGCACGAGGGCCACTTCAGTCCCCGGGGGGCACCCACACTGTCTCCCGCCCAGTCCTGTTCCGTGACCCCATGGTTCTCACAGTTCAATAAACCTCTTTGTCCACGGGAGCCCCTGGGTCCTCATTTTTAGCCACCGCCCTCCAAGGTAACAGGAAGCCTGTGTGTCCTGAGCACCCGTGTCCAGCCCCCGTGAGCACCAAGGATGGAGCCCAGTGCCCTTGCCTCCCGTGGCGGGTGAGGAGGGCCATATGGGGTCCCACTCTGCTCTACACGGGGCCCGCGGCCACCGTAGACACGGGAGGAGCAGCTGTGTCCGCAGGGCTGGGCCCTGACCAGTCGCCACATTTGCATGCAGGTGGCCTGCGGGCCCCGACTTTAGAATCCTGGTCTCCGCCCGACTGCCGTGGCCCAGGCACGAGGTGCACTCTGCAGCCGGAGGTAGTTGGGGTGCTGACGTGCAAGTGGGTTTTCCGCAGGTCTGCACCCCCAGATCCTGGCAGTGACCCCATCCGGTGACGAACACAGCCCTGTGCCAGCACCACCATCAGCGCCTGCCGGGTTACCGGTGAGGAACAGCCCAGAAGCCAAACTGTGGGTGCCTGTGAGGTGCGCCCCCAGATCAGCGTCATCGAAGACCTGCTCCTGGAGAAGCAGTTCACGTGACCCCCGGCTTTAAATCGTCCTTGATTTTAAGGAGTGCGGTGAACGCTCAAAAACAAGAATCCGAGTGTTTTGTATACAAGGACTGGTTTTTCAGCGCCCATAAATCCAGCGCCACTCGAGAATCAGTTTACTAGTTTGCCGTCCTCTGGCGGCCCAATGTCGGGGGCCTGGGTCCGGCCCGAGCCACGGACGCCTTCCGCCCTGAGCACCCCGCTCCCTGTGCCCAGACCCGCCTCCCCAGCTCCCACCACCTCTGCGACCCAGAGCCCTGTCCCGTGTGCCAGCCGCCACTCACACGTGTCTGTTTTCACAAACCAGACAGACACCAGCAAATACCGGAGTCTCGGCTGCACCCGTCCGGGAAGGGGGCTGCAGTGGGGTGGCTGCCAGCGTCTTGCCCCCACCCCAGCTCCCGGCCTGACGGTGCGGCTCGCATGGCGGCATCACAGGACCTGCTGCTTGAGACGCTAAGTGCACACCCACGGGTGAAAGAGGGCCCCAGTGGACGATGTGACTCGGTCTAGCTGCGATGACTGTGGAGACGTGGGGACGAGCCACACCCACAGAGCCAGGGAGCAGGGTGGCGGGTCTGCGAGCCCGGGCCCAGCTGCGCTTCCTTTGGTGCAAGGCCGCAGGCAGACATGGCAGCGTCTGGGCTGGGCCTGGGGGTCACACACAGTGTCCGCCGAGCTGCTCCAGTGCTGGTCAGGAGTCTGCGGAGCAGGAATGGGGCTGGGAGGAGGGGAAAGGCCTGGCGCTTGGTGTGGGGTGCTCTCCCCCCACCTCAACCGCGTGGGGGGTGTTCTGTAGGGGAGGGTTGCCCTTTGCCCAGAATCGGAACCGGCTGGTGGTCGCTTTTCTGCCTGAGACCCACTCACATAGGGAAGTGGGGCACCTTATGGAAATACAGCAGGTCTTGTCACCTTGGCGTCCCTTCCTTGAAGTTACCTGAGGGTCAGTTTGGAGGCTGAAGCAGGACCGACCCCCCTCCCCGCCACCCACAAGCCACAGCCAGGCTCACCCGAGGCCAGACTGCCGGGGCTGTAGTTTGGGGGCTGGGGGCGGGGGCAGAGCAGGACATTCGTCACAGAACCTTCAAGGCTTCCGGAGTCCCGTGTGCTGGACGGGGTTTTTTCAGTGTGGATCTATTTTACTATGTATCTGAAATCTCATACTGTGATTGACTGTAATTAACAGGTAAAAGGTCACTGAAGAAAAACGCACAAAGGCAGGTGAGCACAGGCTTTCAGACGAAGTTACTGGGTTGCAGCCAACCCAGCCGCTAAACTAAGGGATTAGTGACGAGCTATGAAACTTCATTTATCAGCGTTTCCTTTCAGAGTGGAACGAAAGGCCAGATTAAGAAACACCTACTCGTGGCTGGAGAGAGGTTTCCAGGAATATCTGTGAGGTCGAACGTTCCGGGGAAACGGGATCGTGCCGCCCTGCGTGTTTCCGTGGCCTTTCCTGGGGCTGTTCCCATCTGATCTGAGGTCCTGAAAGCACTCAGTACACAGGGATTCCAGTTTGAAACATGCTAAAGAGGTTCAAAGTTCACAGCATCTGTGACGGGGGCGCTGCGTCTGACCCTTGCCAGTGCGTCCTAGGAAGTCGGGGCCCAGAAGTGAGGTCAGGCACTGGTGACCTCGCCCCCCAGGACATCCCCAAAGCCGGTTCAGGCCCAGAGCCACCTCCTTCAGAGCCTAATTTTCCCACCCAATAAAGGGGGTGCAGGAGTAAGATCTGCCCTGGGTGGGCGTGTCCGAGGAGGGGATGGCTTCAAAGCCCCCTGCGAACCTGAGCCTCCGGCTCCCAGCCCCGGGCACCAGAACTCGGATACCGGGAGCCAGAGCCGGAGACGGTGACGAGGTCTGGGAAGACGTGCACGTATGGCAAAGGCATTTGTTGCCATCTTTCCAGGCTGTCACCGCTCAGGATAAATGTCCCGAGTCTGACTTCCCCTTAACACGTTAGCAGCTGTTGCGGAAACATTATCAGCTACGACCAATTAATTAAAGCACTTCAGCACCCAATTACGATGCCCCCATTCACTTCGTGACGCCTGCCGGTGGGCTTGGCATCCTTTTCTTGGAAAATAGCTCCATCCCCGTTTTAACAAAGTCTAACTCATCAGCCTTTTCCTCTAACCAACCCACCCAAGGCCAGAAAGACACTTCCTAGGCCTCCTCCTGGAAACTCTGGTTTTCACTGTCCTGTCTGCATGTCAATCGCCAGCCAGAGCCCCGCAGCCGACTCAGTGCTGGTCCGGGTTCAGCGGCCCCCCCCCCCCCCCCCCCGTACTCGGCCTCGGGGAAGCCGCCTGTGCTCACAGCATCTCAGGCAGGAGAACAAGCCGTTTGCTCAGGCTTCACCACCCCCTCGCCCCTCGGTGCTGCTTAACGAGCCCTCCGCTCTGTGGCCAAGGCAGGACCGGTTCTTCCTGGTGAGTTTATGAACTAGGGTGGTCGCCATTGTTTCTTTTTTCTTTTAATTTCTGCAGAGGCAGAACACAGAAGAGTTCTTAGTATTTTGATGGTGTTTCTTTATTTTTATGTTTGATTTGAAAGAGGGAAAGAGGAAGGGAGAGAGAAACATCGATTGGTTGCCTCTCGGACACGCCCCCGACCTGGGACCAAATCTGAAACCCGGGCCTGTGCCCTGACCAGGAATTGAACCGACGACCTTTCGCTTCGCAGGATGACGCCCGACCCACTGAGCCACACCAGCCAAGGCATTTTGCGATGTTCGTGATGGGAGCTGTGAACACCGACTTTCGGTCAGATGCCTGGTGTCTCCTTTGGCTTCCAGGCTGAGGGGACACGCAGACCCTGGGTCAGGCTCCACTTCGTGTCTTTTTATTAAACGTCGATTTTCTAGGGAAAGCATCTTCACTCCAAATTGGACGTGAAGAAGACTGCCTAAATGTTTACTTGGTGTCTTAATAACAAAAGGGTTTTCGTTGTCTTAAATTTTTTTAATTTTTTAAAAGATTTTATTTATCTATCTCTAGAGGGGAAGGGAAGGAGAGAGGGAGAGAAATATCAATGTGTGGTTGCCTCTCATGGGTCCCCTGCTGGGAACTGGCCTGCAACCCAGGCATGTGCCCTGACTAGGATGTTGTCTTAAATTTTTTACATATTGATTTTAGAGCGAGACATCAGTTTGTCGTTCCATTTACCGATGCATCCATTGGTTGATGCTCGTACGTGCCCTGAGCAGGGATCAAACCCACAACCTTGGAGAACTGGGATGATGCTCCAACTGAGCTACTGGGCCAGGACAACAAAGTTTTATGAAGAAATAACCAGTTGGTGGTGAATTTCTCCCCCAAATTCATATATTAGTAAAATCTCCTTGGGGGGGAGTCCCTGTAGAGGAGATGTCGGGGGTATGAGCAACGGTTCTCCCGTCTCATCCCCAAATGTGTGCTGCATGTCTACCAAGGGAAGGGGAGACCCGCGTTTGAGAGGCACAGCAGCCGTTCCTTCCTGCGGCACCCCTAACTCCCGGAGACCACCGAGGAGCGCGGACCACACGGAGATGGAAGCCCACTCGCTACAGCTCTTCCCTCTGCCCGTTGCTCTTCCCTTTCTGTTGAAGGCTTTAAATGGACACACAGGCAAGAACTGCCCCGTGGATACCGGCCCCTCAACGGGAGCTGCTGTTTCATTGACTGGCCCTCCCACCAGACCCTCCTTCAGGGGCTGGAGGACGTCCAGCGGCACTCCGAGTCTGTCCTCTGTCCTGCCTGCTCCTGCCTGGCACCTTCCGGGTGGGCTCTGCAGCGCCGCCCCCTTGCCCAGCTCGGTCTGCCCCGGCAGGCCACTGTCCCCTCCCTCCGAGGGTGAGCAATCACCAGTAGAAACAAGACTCCCAGAGACACAGGTGGACAGCGTTCAGGACTCCGTGAGGGTCCCCAGCTGGTCTGAATTTGCTCCTTGGTCACAGATGAGTCCATGAGTCTGGAGACAGCAGCATTTTAATGCAAATTCAAGGCATCAGCATCCTTCCATCTCAGATGTAAGACTTAAGACATGAAAGTAGGATGTCTCTAATCTAGGGAAGAAAAATACATTGAGGGCAAGTGGTGTACTCAGTGCCTTCACCATCGGGCAAGTTGCCAGAGACCCGGGGACTGGACAGCAACTCCCCGGGGGGCCTGTGCTGGGGGCGGGGAGGCCTGGTGGGGAGGGGGCCTGGCTGCTCAGTCGCTGCAGATGGACGGCCTGCTGGCGTTGTAGCTCGGGTGGAAGTTCAGCCGGTCAAAGGAGGTGATGCAGTTGTCCACGCCGGTCACGATGCTCTTCTCCAGGCAGACATTGAAGGAATTGTTCTGGAACATTCCAGTGGCTGCTAGTCGAGTGGAAAATTTACTCGACTTTGCATAGAATACTTTCTGGCAATAAAAAGGGAACACAACGGTGCGTGGCGCTGCCCTCAAGCAGTCAGTCCTCGGGTGTTTGGGGAGAAAAATAAGAATTTGTTGAGGGAATGTCTCTGATTCCTGGGACTCAGAGAAGCCAGACCAGCAGGACGGCCTCGGGCGCCCAGACCATCCCGCCCCGGCCTCATGCCCGGGACCAACAGTGCCTCCCTCCACACACTCGTGGAGCCTTGACCGGGGTCCTGCAGGAGCCACCCCCGGTTTCTGGTCGGGAAGCCTGCCGCTAGGCCAGCGGCTGGGCCTTCATTTATCTGCCGCAGCAGCGCTGCCTGCAGTCGCGAGACTGGTTGTGTATCCACGTGGCCTCGTGAGCGGGTCTACAGGCGCTTGTGTCCTCCCTGAAAACGTTTCTTTGCAGGTCCGTTTCTACCTGGCCCTGACCCAGGGGCTCTGAGGCGCCCCTCCCACTGGGCCATGGTAGAGCATTGGGCCCCTCCCACCCCATCCCCAGGACGTGTTGCCCTTTGGAGAAACCCAGGGTATGGGGTGCTTCCAGAGACTCCCCCCTGTACCCCCTCGCTCTCCCGTGCTTCCTGCTTACCGGCATCTCGTGCACCGTGGGGGCCTTGCCCCCGTAAGCTTGGTTACTGGTCCTATACACCGAGACGGGCGCTTTGGTCCTGGCAGGTGAGAGAGGTTCTGCATCTTCCATCCATTTTGTCTAATTCTGCCCAAGCCACCGCCCTAACAGGTTTGGTTGGTGGAGCCTTGTGGGAAATGCCCCAGGTTGGAGATGCAGCCGTGAGCGGGGGCTCGTGGGAAGCATGGGCCCCCTGGTCCTCTCTGCTCACCTCCATTCTTGCCCTTCATAGGCAGCCCAAAACCCTAGAGAATCTCAGACAGACACCACCCAACCTTCCACCCTCCCAGTAGTCTCTCCTGGAAGACAGGGGGATAACAGCCCCACAGCACCCCACCGGGGTTGTGGAGGGCAGGGAAGGCTGCCCCACCCTTGGCACCCTGGCCCAGCCGCGCAGGAGGGAGGGAGCGCGAGTCTCGGACTCCAGGTCACATGGCCTGAGGCGGGAGGTCAGAGGCTCACTCTGAAGAGGTTCCTCTGAGCCCGGGAGGAGTGGAGACTCACCCCAGCCAGGAAGCGGGTGTGTGGCCTCTGCTGGCTGGGCCACCGACTGGTGCTTCTAAAGCTTTGGGCAGCACTTGTGCAGCTCGTGGGTTGAAGAGCTGACTTGGGAGCCAGGGCAGACTGGGGCCCTGGGGACGCTTGCACCCAGGCCTATCTGAGCAGATGCAGGACCGGCTGAACCCCTGGCTGCCCACTGAAAAAGGTGGCCTCTCTTCCCTCTGCGTTTGCCAGGTGGCCCCTCCCTGTGGTTCTCACCTGTAGCCCCGGAACCACGCCGGGTTATTGAACCTGACCGGCAGGTTCTCATCTATGCGGTAGTGGTCGCTGGTTTTCGGCAGGGGGGCCTGGGCCGCGGGCTCCGCGGGCTCCGCGCACTCTTGGGGGTTCTCCTCGGACATCCGCCGTCCGCGGGCGCAGCACCAGGGAGAGGCAAGGCAAGCAGCAGCCTCCCCTCAGCCCGCGGCACGAGGGTCGCGCGGCGTCCCGTTGCTAAGCGACGGCTCGGTCACCTGACTGGGCGGGGGACGTACTTAAGGGAGCAGTAGCTGCCGGGCCACGCCCCTCTGCTGGTCTGGAATGCGAGGTCTGGAATCTTCCGGGGCGAATACGCAGGACCGGCTGGTCGGGATAACAAAGCATCTCTTCCTGGGGTGGCAGTACCGGGTACCCGGGATGCGTGCGGGGCGGGCTGTCCTCACTCGCAGGTCACGTCCTGACCTTGTCCCGAAGGGGTGCAAGGCGGGCGCCCGGGTTTCACCAACCGCTTGCAGGACTTAATGTGCCGCAGGGCAGACCGCGCGCAGGGCTCCGCGCTCTGGGTTCTGACGCCCATGGTGCATGCCAGGGATGCTCCTTGACCCCGCCACTTCGTGCCCTTGTACCCAGAGAATGCATTTCGACTCCAGACTTGCCTAAGTTTATGGAAACCTTCTAAGCCAATAAAAATTAAAAACAATTTTGGAGTGCAAGAGGTTGGGTTAGACTGGCCGAAGGTGAGGAGGGTGCCCAGGCCCGGTGGGTTCCCACGGGGACGGCTCGTGGGGCACTCGGCCGCGAGCACTGCAGGGAGGGGACGAGCGAGAGGGCCAGGGGCCGTCCCCAACGCCGTTCCGAAGTGCTGTCGGGGTCTAGGGGAAAGGGGTCAGGGCGAGGGGACACACCCCCCGACCCCGCACTCGCTCGGACACCGGTGCGGCCCTCCGGCCTCCAGCGTCTGCAGTGCGGGCTAGGCGGGGAGCACGAGTCCGACTCAGCCGGTCCCGGCCCGCACTGCCCGCCAGGCGCCTGGCGAGCTGGGCTGCAGCACGGCGCGGAGCCCGCAGTGGCACCTCCAGGCCTGCAGAGGGCGGTGCTGCGACGGCGCAGGCCGCGGCGGAAGAAGAAGCCACTCTGGCACCGCAGCCGCCTCCTCCTCACCATGGCGCCCGCGCGCGCCCTACCCCGGCTGCTGAGCGCGGGTGAGCGCGCCCGTGGACCGCAGGGGCCTGCAGGGTCGTATTTCCAGGATCCCCGCCCCGGGTTTGCAGTGTCGCTTCACCGGGACCCTCACCCCGGGGCTGCAGGGTCGCTTCCCGGGACCTCCGTCCTGGGGCTGCAAGGTCGCTGCCGCACGGGGTCCCGGAGGCGGGAGGAAAACCGGAGGACGCGCGCCGTGACTCCGCTGTCCGCTCTCTCCACAGGTGTCTGGCCCAGGTCGCTGTGTTTACGTGTCCTCAAGGCGGCGACCCCCAGCCCGGCCCGAACGAACAGCAGGACGCTGGGAAGCGCCGCGGCCCCCGCCCCGAGCGAGTCAGAGGATAGCGGCGGTAAAGCAGATCCCTGGGCAGATGGGCGGGTGGGTGGAGGAGCCAGCGCTCACTGTTTCGGATTGAAGTCATCTGTCGCCAGGAGTCCTGAGTGCCCCTTGGTTTAGTTGTGAAACCCTGGAGGGGTCCGCGTCAAGTGGGGAGAAGGAGCGGCCTGTACCCCAGCAGCCCCACGGGCTAGGTGCTGCGCACTGAAAACGGGCTTTAGAATGACCCCCACCCACCCCTGAACGAGGCTGGGGCCAGCGCCTCCCGCCACGGTGCATCTCTGGGGCTCAGACCCAGCCTCCTGTCCTCCTGGCCAGATCTCCAAGTCAGGGTCCTCAGCGAGCCGCTGAAGCACTCCGACTTCTTCAACGTCAAGGAGCTGTTTTCCGTGAGGAGCCTCTTCGATGCGCGGGTGCACCTGGGACACAAAGCCGGCTGTCGGCACAGGCAGGTGTGGGGCCCTGGGGGGACAGAAGGTCTGGGGAGGGTGGTAGGGGCAGGCCCCGAGGCCCAGCAGAGGAGTGGTAACTGGCCCCATCCCATCCTCTCACGTGGTGGGCATGCCCGCTGCTCGGAGAATGGACCAGACAGGGCTGGAGGAGCAGGTAGAAGGCCAGCGAGGAAAGTGGCCTGACCCCTGGGGCGGAAGAGCTGGAGCAGGGGGAGGTGGAGGGGGCAGAGCTGGGGTCTGGGGTTTGGGGTTGGAGGTGAGGGATGGCAGGCAGGGCACAGCGAGAGTGTCAGTGGCCTTTACCAAGGTGACGGGAATGAGGGGAGACCTGAGGGACATCAGGAGTTGGGGTCCTGTGAGGGGTGACACCTTGGCCACCCCAGCATGGTGTCACATGGGTGCTGGGAGGGAGCACTTTGGGCCTGGATGGCTGCCTCATCAGTGGGGCACCTGGAGAGGAGGGGCGGTCCCAGGAGGGGGGGCGCAGCAGAAGGCAGAGTTTCACTGTGGGGAGGGGGAGCTGGGGGCAGGGACTCCTCCAGCTTTCTGCCAGTCGAAGGGATGAGAGCCAGGTGCGAGTGCACCGAAGGGGAAGTGCGGGTGAGAGACCCTCTGGAGCAGACCTCTGTGTCTTCGGGGTTCCCCCGCCCCGGGCCTGGCTGCCCCCTGACCTGACCTCTCACACTTGTGGTCTGGGGCTACCCCTGCTCTGCTGCTCCCTGAGCCCAGCCCCTGGACGGTCTGGATAAAGCCTCCAAAATGACAATGTGACAAAAGGGGCCATGACGTTATGTTGAAACACCCAGATGCCCCCGTGGGATGGACTGTGTTAGGGTCCCCGCATGACAAGGCGCAGGTTCCAAGGCTGAGCTGTATGTCCGAGACCTGGAGGTGGCCTGCAAGCCAGACCAGCCCCCCTCACTCCCTGCCACCCCCCAGCTGCCCCAGCCCTCACTCACAGGACAAAGTCCTCCCTCCTGTCATCCTGGGGGAGGAGTGTCCCCCACGGAGGACGAGGGGGGGCCCTCTTCACACTCCTGGGTGGGGTCTCGGGCAGGTTCATGGAGCCCTACATCTTTGGGAGCCGCCTGGACCAAGACATCATCGACCTGGAACAGACCGCCACGCATTTGCAGCTGGCCTTGAACTTCACGGCCCACGTGGCCTATCGCAAGGGCATCATCTTGTTCGTGAGCCGCAATCGGCAGTTCTCGCACCTGATCGAGAACACGGCCCGGGACTGCGGCGAGTACGCCCACACCCGCTACTTCAAGGGCGGGCTGCTGACCAACGCGCCGCTCCTGCTGGGCCCCGGGGTGCGCCTGCCGGACCTCATCATCTTCCTGAGCACGCTCAACAACGTCTTCGAGCCCCACGTGGCCGTGAGGGACGCAGCCAAGATGAACATCCCCACAGTGGGCATCGTGGACACCAACTGCAACCCCTGCCTCATCACCTACCCGGTTCCCGGCAACGATGACTCGCCCCCGTCCGTCCAGCTCTTCTGCCGGCTCTTCCGGACCACCATCACCCGGGCCAAGGCGAAGCGCCAGCAGGTCGAGGCCTTGTATCGGCTGCAGGGCCAGGAGGGCGCTGAGGGCCGGGCCCCTGCAGACCCTTCTACCCCAGGGACGTAGGCTGTCCCCCCGACTTGTCTGCCCTCCCAAATAAAAACAGCAGCCACGCCCGTACCTGGCTGCGGCCTTTAGTGCGTGTGAGTCTCCCCGGCCTGGCATCTTACTGCTGGTTGCTGTCACGGGCAGCTGCCCACAGAGCGCAAGTAGCCTGTCTGGGAAGGACCTGCCAGGAAACACACTTGTCCCCGAATCCCACAGCAGGGTCTGGGGTAGGGTGGCCCTCATATGGCTGGACATGTGCCTGGGTCCTGCAGACACGTTGGGGGCAGGAAGAACGGTCCCAAGTGTCCCGTCCAACACCTACTGGGTTTGGGAGACGGGAACTGTGCGCTGCTCTGAAACCCTGAGGCACCTTCATCTCAATGTGTAAACCTGTGAAAATGCGAGCGTCCAGCAGGGGGCCCTCTCTGCCCCTGAACCGAGTTCTGCAGAGGGGGCTCCAGAGGCCGTGGGGGGACCCAGACGCTGACACCTGAACACGAGACCAAACTCACTGAACGGAGTTCTGGCCCCCCAGGGCTGAGGGTGGCACAGAGGCCAGGCTGTCCTCAGGGGCAGGCCTGGACAGGACCGTGAGTGACACAGAGGTCTGCGCTTGGCCCTGCCCCGACACCCAGAGGCTGGGGATGTGGCCAAGTCAAGACCCTGACACCCAGTCCCTGCTCCTCAGGGACCACACACCGGCCTCCTGCCATCCTGTCCCCTGCAGACCAGCAGGGAGGGGCCCAGGAGTTTGCTTGCTCCGCTCCAGTGCCTGGGGTTCTGGGCACAGGTGGGCAGCCTACGGGGTGAGGGCAACAAGGACCTGGAGGGAGGACTCGGGTGGGCCTGGGGGCCTCTCGGAATGGACCCAGTGACGAGAGCCCAGCTGGGGAGGCTTCCAAAGGGGCGCAGGTAAAGGGGGACCCCGTCCCTGGCAGAAGGGGCCTTCACGCTTGCCACCCTGGAGGTGAACCCCAACAAGTTCCCAAAGGAGTGAGTGGGCCTGGGAGGGGCAGAGGCTGGCCCCGAGTCCCCCCTCTGCGACCAGCGTGTCTGACGTGCCCCGTTGGCCTGGCCTCCTCCGAACCCTGACCCGTAGGTGTCTTGGCAGGGAGGCACTACGGTAGTTTGAGCCACCAGAGCAAAGGCAAGAGCAGGAGGGACCCACCCCATGAGGGCAAGGGAGCTCTCCGAGTGCAGCCACCGGGGTCTCAGAACCAGTCCCAGAGACGGCCGGGGGGAGGTTTCTTGCCCAGCCAGCACCAGGGTCTGGCCTGGGGCTTTGCCTCCTGAGTGGCCGCAGCCACAACCTGTGGGGTTGGGCCCCCCTCCTCCCTGCCACCAAGCCGCAGCCTTTGCCGGGTCCAGAGTCGAGTGTGAGGTTATCCAAACCCATTCCTTCTGTTGCCCGTCGGGACCTGGGCGTGAGTGGTTTTGTCCCTCCTTCAAAAAATAGTCCCAGTGTAAGCGTGGGTTGGCCCTGAACCTGGCCGAGCCCCACAGCGTGGGCCCCGGGAGAAGTCGGCCAGGCCCCCGGTGCCCGCCTGGGAGGGCAGCGGCACCTACCGGACCTTCGCCACCACCCAGCAGGTCCGGGCCCTGCTATTCAACCCCACCCGCTTGCTGTCCCTGTCCTCGAGCCTCTTCTCGACACTTCCTGTCAACAGGGCCCTGCGGCAGGTGCCCCTGTGTCTGCCACACGTGTGTTCACGTGACGTAGCACTTGTTATTTGAAAGGGGAATCCAAAGTGGCGTCATGATTGCATGTGAACACGGGCCCTGTTAGTGAACCTGCGTGCAGCCGAAGGGTGGGGACCCCGGAGCCAGGCCAGCCCCTGGGAAAGCACTGGGGCTCGTGGAGCGGTCACCGTGGCGGCAGAGCGTGGGATCGGCGCAGGGTGTGGACAGCGTGGCATTGCCCATCGGCGCAGCCGCTGCAGGAAACAGTACAGAGGGGCCTCTAACAGTTAAAAATGGAACTCCTGTGTGATCAAGCGACTCAGCTCCTGGGTGTTTATCTGAAGGAAACGAAACACGAACTCGGAGGGGTGTTCGCGCCCCCACGTCCCCTGCAGCTTTACCCGAGACGGCCAGGAAATGGGGACAACCTGAGTGTCACCAAGGTGATGGGTGCAAACCAGACCTGTGCCGATCATTCGGCGACACGCACCTGTATGGATCGTTACATTATCACCAGAAACTCTCATGTGTTAATTTTTTAGAAATCAGTGGTGGCCCTGGCTGGTGTGGCCCAGTGGATTGAGCACAGGCCTAAGAGCCAAAAGGTCGCTGGTTCGATTCCCAGTCAGGGCACAACACGCCTGGGTTGCAGGCCAGGTCCCCAGTTGGGAGCATGCAAGACGCAACCACACACTGATGTCTCTCTCCTCCTTCTCCCTCCCTCCCCCTCTCTAAAAATAAATAAAATCTTTTAAAAATAAGTGAGTATGGAGTTTCCATGGGACCCAGCCGTTCCACTCCCAGGCACGTTCCTGAGAGGAAGGCAGGTGAGCAGCTGGTGCAGGTTGTCCCTGGCGGCCGAAAGGTGGGCGCGAACCCCACGCCCACCAACAGAGGCTGGAGAGACGAAAGGCGGGCGATCTGTTCGGTGAGAACCACACGGCATAAAATAGAGTGAATCGGGGCTGCGGGCTATGAACACGGGTGGGACTGGTGAGCACCGGGCTCAGTAAGGCCACAAAGTCCGCACTCTGTGCCTAGGACAGGTCCAAGGGGACGCGGAGGGGGCTGCAGGGATGCGGGAGGGGGCTGCTCCGCGGCGCTGTCTACATGCCCCCCCCCCCCCGTGTGCCGTGCACCGCGGCACCTTGTGCATTTTCTCGGGGCGGGTGGGAGGGGACAGCGCGCCACGCAAGGTGTAGCTCAGTAAGCCTGTTTCAGCCGGTTTCCCTTTATTTTTTTTACAGGTTTTATTTACTTATTTAGAGAGGGGAAGGGAGGGAGAAAGGGAGAGAAACATTGATGTGTGAGAGACATTCATCTGTCACCTCACAAGCCCCCAGCTGGGGACTCGACCTGCAGCCCGGGCACGTGCTCTGACTGAGAATCGAACTGGCGGCCTTTTGGTTCTCAGGCCGGCACTTGGTCCCCTGAGCCACAGCAGCCAGGGCTCCCCTCTGGCTCTTACAGTCCCTGCACCAGCTGTCATGGCGCGAAGGATGTTTGGTAACAAGGTCCTCAGCTGTCGGGGCCCCATGGACTCTCGGGAGTAGACCAGGGAATCCTGCCACCCGAGCCCCACTTTACAGATGAGGAAACTGAGGCCCAGAGGGGGCCTGGGAGGTAGACCCAGGGCCTTCTCCGGGAACGAAAGCTTCGCATCTCTCCGCAGGGGGCCACTGGGCATTAGAATGCGACATTTTTCGAAGGAGGCTGCCTTTTGAACCATGAAGTGATCTTCAGGCAAAACGTGAAGGACATTAACAACTTTTCTTATTGTTTCAAAGAAAAGCCGAGGCTTGGTGTTTTATTTTCACCAAAGGGGAAAATACAAGATCATTTAGGACTTGCCTGATCCAAAAACCAGCTGCTGGAGGGAACTCTGGGCCCTCTGGGCCCACGGCCACTTCCCTTTCACCCCCAAACCAGACCCTTCCGAACTGGCTGAGCCCTGCCCTGACCACCTCAGAGCCAACCCCGGCAAAGGCGGCATCTCCCAGCCCCCAGGGCACAAGTGAGCCCAGCACATGCATCCCCTCAGCCACGCAGCACCACAGCCAGCTGCCAGTGTGCCCCCGCCACGGGGGCCGGGGCTGCAGGTGTGCTCGTGCAGCGGCGTCATCGGGGGGAATCAGCCCTGACCCTGCCTCCATGGCCGCCATGGGGACGGGCCGCAGCTGTGCGCCTGCTCACAGGTGTCTGGACGGGGGCGGGGCAGTGGCGGCAGTGTGGCACTCCCTCTGGAGACAGGGATCAGCTCTCTCCCCTGCAGGGTAACTGAGGAGAGGGTGTGTGTCCCTTTGCAGAGGGGACTGCGTCTCCAGCTTGTCTCAAGTACGTGCACCTCCTCCATCTGGAAACAAACACTCGAGCCTCTGACAAAGGCCTGCCACAGGGCAAAGGCCCCACGACCCCTGAGCCCAGCTCTGAGGGCGGGTCTCCCTGGGGCCTGGAGGTCGGCCCGTGCCGCAAGGCGGGGCTGAGACGGGAGGGCTGACCCCGGGACAGCGGTCACCCCACAGCACATGTGCCAAGGCCCCCGTGGATCCAGGAATTCTTCAAACACCCCAGCAGACAAGGGGATCACAGAGCAGTTGGCCTGGGTGGGGACACTTGGGACCAGCCTGTTGGATGCCACCCTTGAGGGAGCCTATGCACTCGGTGAAGTGGGGTCACGCGTGTGCCTGACCATGGACACAGGGCTTCACTTTCCTTCCAGGGTCCACCCGTGTCCACAAGGGAGACCTGTGCGCCCCCAAGAGCACCCCCGCCACCCACCACAGGGAAGAGCCCTGGCGCGTTCACACTGAGCTGGGCTGTTCCCTAGGCAACCCTCATGGGACAGTTGAGAAACTGAGGCAGAGCCTGCCCCTCCCCCAGGTCTCACCCCTCCCGCGGGGTCTGCTTTGGGAATGAGAGCCCCTGGGATCCCAGGGGTCCCCGCCTCCCCAGCCCCTGCAGCCCTCCCATTCCCTCCAGTGACACAAAGACCCAAGCTCAGCTGTGGGCGGAACTCGCCTTGCAGAGCAGGGCCTGGCCCCCTGACAATAATGCATCCTCCTCACTTCTGAGCTCGAGGGACAAGGGCCCGATTTGTGTGACCATACAAAGGACGCTTTTCCCATGTCAATTTGGGGGTGTCACATGTGAGAACTTGTGCTGAGACAGAACCCCAAGTTCTAGCGTTCACGGTGCGTGCCGCCGAGTGGGATGGAGGCCGGGTGACCTAGCGAGGTGCCCGAGGGGACTGTCGTCCTTCCTCAGTGCCAGCTGGCAGCGCTGGGGGTGCCTGCTCGGACCGGCCAGTGCTTTCTTCCAAAAGCTATCAGGAATCCTGAATTCTGTGTGAACTCGCCCCATTTTAAAGTCGCTACGTGGCACAAAAGAAAAGTTGTTGGAAAGACTGGGCCCCCA